ACACACACACACACACACACACACACACACACACACACACACACACACCAATGGAATAAAAGTACTATTGTTTCTCAAACAATATTGAGTGTGTTCAATAATACCATCATGATTTGACTACGAAAAATAATAAACTGGCATAATTTATGATTTACGTAGTTTACATTGCACGGATGCCAGTCGTTAGGCGTTTCCCTTGGTAACTCTACTCGGATTACACATGACTGCATTGTTATACGATAAAATTGTGTAGTTCCATTTCTATCTTTGAACGTTTCAATATTACTTGTCAAATTTCAATATTACTTTCAATTGTTCTATTTGAAATACCTGTGAATAATTTCGTTGTTTGTTTAATTACGTGATTCGATGGAATCGAAAGATTATAGGAATATTCAACCAGCTGGAACGATTATTCACAACAGATATTTAAATATTATCATTTAATATATGGACGATACCGTTCTTCAAATGGTCGATTAAACAATTTAAATTTTCGCAAATTTTTCTTTCTAGCCACATGGATAATTACAGAGCAAATATCGGCAAGTGGCTACCACCTCCAGGTGATATTCTCGAGAAATGGTTCGCCAACTCGTCGATGCTTACAAAACGTATAGACAACCTCGTAGAATTCATAGCCTCAATTATGCATGATATTACAAACGCACAGTCCTGTGATTTCGAGGTGCGATTAACTTTTCTATGGTCAAATTTTGATCGCGATTTAGTTTTTCATTCTGAATCACTTGATTGTTAAAATATTCTCTTTAGTATCAAGAATGATTTACTTCTCATGAATGAATCATTAATATTCTCTTTGGTCAAGAATGAATCACTTTTTTTTATGATAACGATTTATGTACGAGTAGAGTTCTCTACTTTCTTTTTTATTCTGTATTCACAAAAAAAAAACTAAAACTTTACTTTCTATTCTTACATTATTGAAAACGTTTCCGTTGTGAAATGTTTCGTATAATCTAAATAGGGACTTATTAAATTACTATAGTTTTAAAATACAAAATACATAAACACATCTAAAATTATTTGGAGGAAAATTATTAATATAAAATTGTATAAATATTCACATATTTGTAATATATTCGTAAATAAATATAACTATTACATATGATAATTTATAATTATATGATACATACATATAAGATAATATTATAATAATTATTATATTATCCTCTCACGAAGTTTGAAGTGTCTGAAGTCGTATTTTGAATGCAGGTGTATAAAAGAATTGCAAACGATTTGGAAGAGAGGACGAAAGAGTACAAATCAGTCAGTACAATGAGCCTTAGTACACATCCGATTTATAAATATAAGATGTGTCATTTTTCGATGATGTTGAAACGAAAGCTGAACGTGCTCGCGAGATTTACTCGTAATTTGATAACCGAGATCGTTGATTGTAAGAGCGATGAACTGCTTAGAATTATTTTCAGGTGAAAATCGTATAAGTATACGCTTAATTTTCATTCGGGAATTAACAAAACATATTGGTTCACAGGTTGGTGAACATTTACAACGATATACTCGGCATGAATATTGACGTCTCTGATCCCTCGACAAATGTATTCTGCAACGATTGTCCATACATGTTGGAACCGATGAAGAAGATATCCGTCACGCGAATATTACAGGTAAACACTTTTTTTTAAACACTGCTTCACTTTGAAATTTCTGTTCGTTTCGGTTTCTTCTTCTTTTGACGTAATATTTTAAATTTTCTTGGCACAAATTCGACAAAAGGAATAGGAATGATATTTAGTTTGTACGATAGGTTTTCCTAGGTCAGACTTTGTACGACGATTCATTGACCTGGTTCCAGGTGCTGGCCAAAAATAG